AAATAGTATCAATTTGGTAACAATCTAGTGACTACTTAATTACGATATTATAAAAAAATTATTAATTTCTGTAAAGTTAGATTATGAAACCACCTTTTGGCTTCTAACAAAAAAAATTTCTTGGGAATTTTTGGTATAAACAAACCCTCACTTCAATTTCAATCTCACCCTTACTCTAACTATAAGCAAGAGTTTAATTTTTTGTTTATTAAAGTTGTTTTGATCAACATATTATACAAAATTTGTAATTCAATAAATTATACCCATGTATAAACACTATGTGTAAATTAATAAATTTTCTTTTTTAAATTATTTTTAATATATTATATTATTTCTATACTATTATATCTTTTATTACTTTATAATTTGGAAAATTTTTGTTTTTTTAGCTTATTTAATAATAATAATTTTTTTTTGATATTAAATTGATCTCTTTGGTCTAGTAACTTTTTATTAAGTAATTAACAATATTACAATTATCCTTTAAACTATCACTAGTTAGCAAGCAAATTTGGCTACTAAAATGTTAAAATTGTTATATTTGATCTATTTTTGTTAAAATTTAAATTTTTTTAAAAAAAATTTATATAATAATATTTAAAATAAGAATTATAAAATAGTATTATTTATTTTTAAATTATAAGAAAAAAAAAAAGTTGCTTATATATAGTAAAAATTTTAAAATCAATTTTTTTTTTTAAAAAAAAACAAAAATTTATTTTTATTTAACAAACTTTTTAAAATTCTAAGAATAAGTATATTATAATTTTGATGCAAATTGTAGAATTTGATTTAAAAAATAATTTAATTAAAAAATTTTTATAATTTTATAAATAAAATTTTAACTTTATATAGTAGTAAAAAAAGATTTTTTTTTAAAAAAAGTATATTAAAATTTAAAATTTTTTAAAAATTTTTTTACAAATTTTATAATAAAATTTTAAAATTAACTAAATTTAAAATCAAATATTTTTAATACTTTTAGAGTTAAGGTAGGGAACATATCAATTATTTTTTATATGATCTCAGTAGTAAAATTTTTTTCTTTTAAAAATAAAATAATATTTTATTAATTAATAAATTTTCGAAAATTAAACAAAAGTTATAAAATAGGTTCTTCTAATTCTAATAATAGTAAAATTATTAAAATTGGTTAAGTATTTATCAAGATAGATATATTAAAGTTTAGATATTGTTTTTTATCATATGATGATTATATGATATGAACTAATCAAAATTAATAATTTTGTATAACCCTAGAGAATTAGGATCATGCTAAAAAACTTTGCAATATAAACAAATATATTTTTTTTAAATATTTTAGTTATTAAAAAACTCTTTTTCATAAATCTGCAAATCATTAAAAATATTAAAAAGCAAACAAACAAACAAAGAAAGTTTAGCAAACCTAAGTAATAGATATTTTAACTACTATCTAGCACAAAGTTTTAAACATAAGAGACAACTCAGCAAACAACATAGAGGATCTAGAAAAATCTACAATATATCCTTCTCACTTCTTGTAGAGTTATCTATTACAATATTACAGAGGAAATCAATTTTCCAATCAGTTACAAAATCAATCTTTGGCACTACCCAAACAGATCAACTCATGATCCAGAAAATCCACCTGCAATAATTCCTCAACCAACACCTAATACAGCAAAAAGAAATAGCTCTTCTAAAGCCCATCATGCCAATCTTTTTTAGCACCCTACACTTGATCAAAAAGTGGGCAAAACAGCTCACTCCTACTTGCTAATTATTTATAACACAACAATGATCACATGACATCATCTAGTCAAACAACAAATCCAGATTTGCTAGGCCTCACACCAATTAAATCTGATTTGATGAAAATATTCCCACCACTCAATCAAAACAAACCTGTTTCAAAAACAGCGCCCCAAATAGATCCAGCCCTAGCACAAAATCAGAACCCTACACCAGATCTAGACCACATCCAAAGTACCCAGCATACCGAGCCAACTATTCAACTACCACTGAACTCACCCGGACTTACAGCCAAGCACTCTGATTTTAATTATCCACAAAGAAGATTCCTATTCCCAAACCCTTAACACTATAGAGCATCCAAGTTGCCTAATCAATAGCTAGCTAAAGCCAACTCTTCAATACAAACCTGTAGAACACTGAAACTATACTCAATACACTCAAAGATGAAACTCAACTACAGATCTTCCTCAGTCACAAAGCTACTAACAACTTACTTGTTTAAACAAACCTATAGCAATACAAGCTAAATTTAACTATTTTGACATAGCATTTTTCAAATCATTTACCCACAACAAGCAAACTACTCCCCTCTATCAAAAGGAATTTGAGACCCTATATAACATAGCTCTTGAGAAATACAAACGTCAACACAAACCCAATTTATTAACAAAAATAATAGAAATCAAATAATGCAAAAACTCAAAATTAAATTAGCAATCGATTATATCACTAATATTAATTTTGTAAAGACCAACCTACACAACATCGCCTGAAAGATTTATTACTGCACCAACTTCATCAAAATTAACATCTTCACAAGCTTTGAGGACCTTTGAAAACTCATACAAATGGTAAATACAGAGTGCCTCAACCCTCTCCCAGCCATACCCAATAAGATTCCTGACAAAATCATATCAAACTTACTTTTTGAACTATCTATAAAAGAAACAAAGCACACACAAGCAATCACAGCAGCACTAAGAAAAATATACAGATTTGAAAAATTACTAAATGAATTTTTTCAGGAAGCAAGGCTAAAACTTCCTAGTAATCTTTCAGAACTTCACCCCACTGTCAAGAACCTGTTTCCTATTACTAACTACTTTACACTTTTCTACCTGTCTGAATACTATACCAAACTTGAAAAATTATACAATGTTGACAAAATACTACCCAACTACTTTGATTCTAAACCACCACTCTCACTTTTACCTCAACAACTTCCCACAATCTTTATCACCTATTTCCATGAAGACTAAAAGATGCAGATGATATTAAAAAATTTGTAGATTTTCTTAGACCATATTATGGCTTCAAAAAACTCCTTAATGACTACATCATTAAACTTCCTTGTCTATCTTCTAACCCCAATACAATTAAAACTAAACACACCTATATCTACCCAATATTGGATAAACCTTTAGCAAAAAGATTCCTAGCAAAAATTCAAGAAAAATACAACTTCAATCTTCCTTTACCAAAGGAATAAATACTTGTCAACCCTACCAACAAACCAGAACTACTCACCAATTTACTTTTAATTACTCAGATGAATCTCACAACTCCAATTACCTCATCTAAACAACTCGTAGATATCGCTCAAGAACTAAAAAATTACTACTACTTTACTGAAATATCTTCAAGTTGAATAAACTTTCAATGCAAAACAGGCCCAAGAGAATACAAAGACAAACTAATACTGCCCCAAAATCTTGAAGAACTAAATCAACTCCAACAAAACAACCCAATGCTCGCCTTAATTTTCCTCTGCCAAAACCACCTAATTGCAACTGAAAACATAAACAAACTCAAAGAGCACTTCAACTTTAATCTAGTACCTGACTATCTACTTAACCTATCTGACCTGCCAAAACCCGAATAGCCTATATTTGATAACTACATCCCCTGCAACATTATAAACAAAATTACTACCACATGTCACCCCACTCAAACCACAACCTCCAAAACTTCTCCAACCAACCAATCAATAGACCTAACATGAACAATACACCCTCAGATACTAATGACTTACTGTCAACAACAACATCCACAACTTACCAATCAAATTCTAACACTATCTCATTGCTTAACCCTAACACAAACACTAATGCATTGATAATCTCTTCCTTTAACATTTTTAACCACAACTTACAAGGAATCAACCAGGATCTCAAATTCCAGCTATGGCTTAAGAAATGTTACCAACATCACATACATATTGTATTCATGACTAGAACAAAACTACTGGCTTCAACAACAAGCAACATACATTTAACCAACCCACTATACAAACTTTACATTTCCAACTATGACTTGGCTAATGCAAATATCTAAGAATTATCAAAAGTGTAGCAATCGCACTCAAACCTGAACTTCAACTCTATATTCACAAAATAACCATAATACTCAGCTTGGCACTTCTTATTAACCTATTCCTACCCAAAAACAACAAGACTTGGCTAATCTCAACCTACCTACTATTGACTATATCATCTTAACTACATACTAAACAACAAAAAATAAACAAAGTTGAAGACAGTATTGACCAAGGAGAAACCATCTCATCTATCCTATCCCTTAAATTGTAACACAGGCAAATTTGCCTGTGTTTTTATTAAAAAGTTTAATTTTTTTAATAAA